TATTTTTTCTTTTCTTGAAGATACCAGTCAGGTCAACTGAGAGAAGATCTCGCGAAAATATTCATGACAGAAGAAATCAAGGCGCTATTTGATGGCCAGGACGTCGAATTTAGTGTTGAGATATGTGAAGAGGAAATAGAAAATGCCCGTCGTGTACTAATAAGTGCTGCAGAAGCAGGTAATGTCAAGAAATATTAATATTTAGAATTAAGGAGTGTAAAAAATCTTCATTGTGGTCAGGACATGCCCTGCGAGAAAGCCAAGTACCGGAGTGAAAATGTTTAAAGTGATCCCATCAAGGATGGTTTAGAAGTAGTTCACTTTCCTCTCACTTATGGGGACTTGGGACTGCAGGGTTTGTTAGGTCTCTTCCACTTAATTCCAATTAAGTAAGTAAGCCATGCTATGGCTTAGCCGATAGGATGTTAGCGGAGCTCTCGGGCCCRACCGAGAATGGCACCATACTTAAGAAAAATTGGTAACCAATGGAGTTGATTTTTCATTGCTTGATTACGTCATTTCCGTCCGTCCGTACGTCCGTCTGTGTACACACCACAGGGTTCCCGCTTGATTTCAAAGCAAAACTCATGAATGCACAGAAAACATCGCTCTGGGACAATATTAAGACCAAGAACAAAAGTAAAAAACCCTTTAATGGAGTCAAAGATGGATAAATAAGTATTCTTCAAGAATTCAGGTGCTTTTTAGCGAGCAATGGTATAATTTTACTTTTAAGAAAAATAAGCAGTTTTGTCGACAAATCAAAGACGTTCTATCATTTGTTTTAATATTTCTAAAGATTATTTATTTTAATCTTGAATAAAATTTAAAAAGAAGTACATATTACATCAAATATTCGCCATTTATTTTCTTTGAAAATCTTTAAGAATTCAGCCTGTTTTTTTAGCGACCCGGAATCGAATATTTTTACTTTGCTGAAAAAGCAGTTACGTTCGTCTCCTATCGGMAAATCAGAGAAGACTTTCTTTCATTAGTTTTAGTATTTCTATATAATTTGTTTTAATGTAGCATTAAAATAAATTATCTATAGAAATGTTGACTGCAGTATAATACGGAATACATATTATACCAAATATTTGCCATTTAATTAGCTTTTCCAGCCAGTATGATTAGACAAAATGACCTTATATTCGGTTTTTGAAAAATTCCAAATAAGCTATAAGCCAAATATTCAAGATCATTTAGGAAGGCCAATTACTGAGAAAGAAAATTGTTGTTTTGCATTGATAGATTTATCTTTTGTTCTTGTGAAATTGAACTAAATGTAGGCATATATTTTTCGAAAACGTTTGCCTCTCAGTACGTCGACTGCAAAAAAAGTTGTTCTAGATGTGAAGCCGTTGTCTTTCAACCACAAAAACCAGTTTTTACATACGAATCCGATGGAATCCTTTCTTATGCACTAGAAGTAATCAATAATTGAGGGAATTGAATAAGTTTTCTGATGCTTTAAAGGCTTAAGATATCGACTTATCAGTTTTTTTTCTGTCTGAAAACCAAACGAGTTGGTCATGCTGTTTCGTGAAGCAACTGTTATATGAGAGAGAAAATTAATGTTTTTTACAGACTAAGCTAGACATCAGTTTTCTAATTACTATTTCTTATCGTATGAAAACAAGATCGATATAAGATTTCAGTAAGACTACCATCACGCACAAGTTTAGATAATGGTATGCTTTGAATTTACAAGTAAACCTCTTAGCTCCTCCCATTAGCATGTACACCTCTGGTTACGCCCTACACACTCTTTACCCCTTTGCTTAGTTATTTTAGCACTATTCTTTTAAATCTAATTATAGAAGTGTTCCTCGTAGACCTTTCTATCGTTTACCATATATTCATATATTAACTTTAGTTTAAGCTATGTTTAGTTCTAAGATTTTCATTCGTATTACTCTTTAATAAGATATCACACTTAGGAATTTACTATTTCCTTTAGCCAATCAAGACTCAGCGATAATATCACATTGATTGTAGAATGACACATGTCATGAAGTTATTATAAACAGAGCTCATGTAATAAGTTTAAGTCAGAAAAGGAGAAGAGAGTCAGAGAAAGTAGAATAAAGATCCCGTAGCTCGTACCGAGAGCGGTCGTCCCATAACACATCGTCACACTTGCCACGCATTTCTCGATTTATCCTCAATAAAATATTTAAAAAAATCATATATTTTTCTGAAATCTCATGGATATCCTCTTTTCATATGACATCTATGAAAACAGTTTGAAAAAGACCTTTTGGTTTTAACACTATTTTTTGATTTTCGTGCAAGCTAAAACAACGAATATTGTACAGGGAGCTCCGCTTTTCATGGCACAGAATGCCTATTGTTTTAGGGACATGCACTTACAGTTCAGATTCTCACGTACATTTCAATGGGTGGGCATAAATTTGAATGATAATAGAATTCCTCAAGTTCTGATTGGTGAATGCATCCGAGCAAAGCGGGGAGCGGGAAGCTGCGAAGCGTATCCCTCGAACGAAGTGTGAGACTGACAAAAACCGCCTCTATTGTCTTTATAATCCGTGTTTGACAAGTGAACTCCACGCATGTAAACAAACTAATATCTRGTCTTTTTACCAAACTTTTTTGACCAGCATAGGAATTTAGTTTACAAATTGAAACTTACGGCTCTTTTGCAAGCTAACCGACAAATAAACTCAATACAGTAACTCATATGCTAGTTTAAAGGAAGGATTTAAAACCTAAAGCGGGGTTAACTAATCGGTTAAGTCTGGCGGCCAAAGACAGAAAGCTCTGTTTTCTCTTGTCGTTTATAAAAAAAATTGTTTGCTATCAAAAACCGTTTAATGAAAATGAAAAACTGTTTGAGTAAATCGCTTGTAAACAGAAAGTTTCGCGTACTTCTTGTTACCGGTAAATTTTTATTCCTGTTTTCGATTCAAAGCTTTTCTTTTATAAATTAAGAGTCAAGGAGACGCTTAATACGCAGTTAGCCTTTATGGAGCTGCCGATCTTCACCTTTCTTGAATGAGCGATATGAAAACCTATTAGTAGATTCGATATCATATATAGCATATGAGTCATGACAATTACTCATTTGGTGGCTCCTAAAAGTCAAAGTTGAATGAACTAGGAGGTTTGTCCRATGAAAAAAACACACAAGACAGTGTTTATTCATTCAATTTGGAGACAAAAGAGCTAAATGATAAATAGATAGATATAACTAGCTAAAACTAGTGTGAGCTGCGTCGGTGTTTCTAATGAAACAGAATGATGAAAAGGTAAATTATACACCGTGAAAAGATGAAAAAACTTACTATAAGTAAAAGTTTTTTCATCTTTTCACGGTGTATAATTTACCTTTTCATCTTTACTAAATGATAAATAGCTTAGGCGAGAAATGAAAAATGACTTAATCCATAAACAATAGAGGTTATGTTTTTGATGCTGCCGAGAGTCCCGCGGACAGCTGCAAGTACTTCGGGAATCCCGCTCAACCCAGGCGCAAAGACCACACATTTTTATAACTTTAAAAACCTCAAATAAAATTTCAACGGATAGTCCGTGTAAAGGGTGCAAAATGTTCTTTAGACATTAAAGTTTGTTTTGCACCTTTTGGCCATCGACCAACTCACTTGGAAAACAAAATATTTCAACATCAAGATGTACGACCTCTATGTTTCCATACTTAAATGTTTAAAAAGTCCTTCTTTTTCTTGTTAAAATCCTCAAAAAAAGTTTTATCGTTTAATTTTTTTGATTTTACCTAACGACGAGATGATATCTCTACTTCCATTTGCACCCTTTGGCCATGTAAATAACTTAAGAAGAAGATACAAAATTACTGGTTTTCAGAGTCTACTTGAGCCATTTTTAGCCATTTCTCTTGTAATTTTACTCTGTAAACGAGTCACAGTCAAGTGAACATGATTTGAACCGCGCGCCAAAACAATAGAAATGTCCCGGATGTGTCCGCCTATTCTGTGCCATGAGGCAGTGCCTAAATAGCAGATATTAGAGTTACACTCTGTCGCCCTCAAACAATTGTTTCAAGTAGAGGTATTTGGGTCAATAAAATGAAATGTATAGAACCTGACCCAAATGCAGCAATTGTCTGAATGCAATAGAGTGTACTCCGATATCTCCTATTTAGAGGTTGTTTTAGAGTTCTATCAGTGAGTTTACCATTCCTTGACGTAGATCAGCCTGGAGGTTGTCTCAGGTTTCGATCTGTGAGTTAGCCGTGCCCTTAGAACAGCCCCAGAGATTGTTTTAGGGTATCGATAAAATAACGTTTCTTGTAGTTCTCAGCTCCAAGCCCCCTTGAAATCCCATGAAGGCAAATTTATATACTTATGTATTCTATTTTTATTCTTATGAAAAAAGAAAAGAAACGCGAAGAATTAACCAAGAAAGAAGGGCTGGCACAGGCTTTAAAAAAAACTAAACTTACGACGGATTTAAACATCTTTGACGGAGAAATTGTTGAAGATGGCGAAAACAGGGTTCAAGCGCATCTTGCTGTGATAACATCCAAGGACCAGGTCGAGGAAGTTTTTGCCGAGCTGAAGAAAAAAGATCCTGGTGTTGATGAGGCGACGCATAACATCTGGGCCTACAGGATCTTTGATGCCGAACGAAATGTTTACCATGAACATTGCGATGACGATGGCGACGATACTTCTGGAGCAAGAGTCCTTCGCTTTCTACGAAGAACCAATGCCATGAATGTGATAGTTGTTGTGTCGTGTTGGTATGAGACCACTGCAGATGAGTTAGGGGAAGTTAGGTTCAAGTACATCCAAAAAAGCGTTTTGGATTTACTTCTAACAAGTGGAATAGAAATTCGAACTTCCAAGATAAAGAAATACTTCGAGGAGATCAAATACACGCCATTTGAAAAGATGAAAGAGCAGGAAATCCCAAAGTTTGAAATTCTTCACGGAGAAACCATCGAAGATCGSAARAGCACATTYCAAGCYCACCTTGCCGATATCACATCTCGAGAACAGGTTGACCAAGTGTTGGACGAGCTGAAGAAAGATCGTAAGATTGCAAAAGCAACTTACAACATGTGGGCTTGCAGGATCTATGATGAAAAGAAGAAATCCTACATTGAAGAAGGTTACGACGATGGTGAAAATTTAGGAGGAGAAAGGTTGTTGCATTTGCTGCAAAGGAGCGACGCCAAGAATGTGGTTATCATCGTGACTCGCTGGCACGGTGGAATACATCTGGGGAATGACAGATTCAAACACATCAATAAGTGTGCTAGCGACCTTCTTCAACGAAGAAAGACTGCTGAATCTAGAACGAGCACAGCATCTACCGATCCGAAATCCACCGCGACAAAAAAGAAAAAATCTAAGAAGCACAAGTAATATCAGGATTTTTTAAAAAGTTTAAGTTAAAGATAGAAAAACACTTTTATACATGGTAAAGAAAATGAAAAACAATTCCTGTTGTAAATGTTATGCCTAGAAAGAGCTAGAGATATGCCTATGGGGGCTTCGTATTACAAAGTTTGAATGGGGAAACGGTCGTAAGGAGAGATTTGACTCTATTACTAGACTAGGAGGATACCCGAGATTACACTCTATTAACCTCACCCCTCTCTCCCCTCCCCCAAAACGAATGCACGTTACAAAGAAACTGCTAATAGAAAATAGAGTCACAAGCACTCTAGGAGCCACTGGACTGATAAACTTCCTTTTGTGAACACGAACGAGCTTTGAAACTACAATACCCTCCTATAAAAAGGGATACCTTAGGCTCCTTTAACACGTATCCGAATATTTTTGAAAGCGGAAATTTTTTATTGCGTTTTCCAAAAGATACTCATCCATGTTTAGCGTTTTCGAATCGTTTTCCCTCGTCCACAGGTAGCCGTTTTCAAAAAGCTGCGTTTTCAAAAGGCGTATTCACCGGGTAGTTGGGTGG